CATGCCATACTTACAGTTGTACGAAGCTCTACAGAGCCTTCAAAATCATTTAGTCCGTAAATCCTCTAATAAAATTTTCACGATTTTGAGAAATCTTGAACTGTCTTCTATCACTAGCTGATAAGGAAGTTCCCACATTTTTTCTAAAATAGTAAACGACAGTAAGTGATACTTCGTGCACTTCAAAGGCAATTTTAAGCAAGCTTTACGATGCAGAACCTTGACATCCACAGAAGCTATCTGGACAAGAGAGTTATCAACTATCAAGCACAAGTTACAGACTTTTTTAGACGATCAGCAAAATGAAAATTGCTTGAAGTCACTACACTCAAGCACGAACTCTCAAAGATTTAGGTATAAGTTAGTGCAAGAAAGCAAGCTAGGCAAGAAATAAAAAAGTAGAAGGAATTGGGTAACTGATCACGTGAGGCCACTTTTATCTGCAACACTGTGATCCTACTATAAGACAGCACAGATAAACATCCTGTGCGCCAAACTTTGTTTTAGAAGAAGTTATTTCAAGAATAACGTCAAGAGAACAATTAGTGACCAAAGCTGAAAAGCGTTTATAACGGTGATGACATTACCACCGCGGCGCTTTTTACAGCGATGTCGATGGCAGCGAAAGTGAGAACAGGTTTTCTTTTGACTGATCTATTGTCTCCGATGTCGGTTAGGTAAACGGAAACACTTGGTGACTCATCGGTTGCGCATGACGAGGGTACATAAATTTTTGTTTAATTTTGGTAGTACAAGGCGATCAAAGAACTGTAACACTCAGATGCCAAAAAAAAATTTATTTATTCTAGTCAGTGAAGATTTTTGAAGGTTTTCGTTAATTGTTGTACAGTTTGTTTGATTCGAGTATTGAAAATTTAGTTGATTCTCAGACATGTGTGGCTTTCTTTATACCAAGAATTTTCTCGGCCACTCCAATGTAATAAACTGTTTGAGCAATGGCAAATAAGGGTGCTACGGCCATAACTCGACAAGCTGCTCCTTTGAATAGTGCCCGAACGCCTTCAGTTCGAAGAATGCTGCTGAAAATAAATCGAAAGTCTGCAAAATTTTGCAAAAAACATCAAAATTTTCTTACTAGAGTGCTTGTGCCACATTTTTGTAAACCAGCTCATGAGCTTTCTTTCTAATTGTTTGTATACGAGTCTTTGCTACTGAAAAGGACAACTATGAGTCAAGACGCAGATAAAGCACATGCCGTGTCCACTGCTGCGAGCGGCATTGACGCCTTTCAGTCGCGAGAGCGTGTGTGAACTAATGAGACGCAGATGGTTAAAGCGCTTTGCAGCCGCAGCGCACATCAAACGAATTACTTACCATCAAGTGGTGTAACTGAAAAAGACGCAATTGCACCAGCCGTCATTCCTGCGCAGAATGATGTCCAAAAAACTGCATCACCACTACCATCCTTTTTTCTTGGACCCTTCAACATCGAACATTTACAACTTTTTTACGGCAAAAAA